TTTCTACACAATCGTTCTCCATCATAGATGCATAGTCCCCGTAAATGGCCGTAGGATTAATATCCTTCGGATATTTACTACTAAAAATATACATATTTGAATATGAGTAATATATTCAAGGTTTATTATTTATATATATTTTGTTTGTAATTTACTAATTTGACTTAATTCAAATAATTTGTCTCATGTTAAAATTTTAGTAAAACATGCGAAGAAATTAAACGTGCTCGATGTACCTGTCAGATAACGTGGGAAAACGTAGGTCACCCGAAGCCCCGGAATATGCTTCAACAAATTGCGTTTTTGCAACTTGTGATGAATTTGCATTCTCATGCTGAATAGATAAGGAAGTCGTTTCCACCGTCGCACGTGTGGCAGACTTACCTTTTTATCCAAGACAGTTTTTATCACGAAATAAATACTGATATTCATAAAAGATTTCGCAATCGACTAATGTTCCTACCTGCGCCTTTGCACATGGGACACATAACATATTTCTTGCATTCCGTATGCGCCATTCTATCACAATTTTTCTTATTGTAGCACAATATACGGGTATATTTTACAGAAATTCAATTACTTTAATTGCAGGAATTTGTCTGCTGTATCTTTGTCTCTAAACGTCCATTTTAAACACGCAAGCATCGCTTGCATAACTTTCTATAAAAAGTGCTGCTTTGACATTTAGATAAATTCAAGTTGATATTAACATAAATTTGTATTACGCCTGATATTGGTATGCAATAAATTTGATAAAAATTTCAATAAAACAAATCGATAGAGATTATGATGACGACAGTAATGCTACGAAAGATAGCGATAATTGAGCACTAAGCTAACAATAAGAAAAAAATTTCTGTATTGTTTTGAAAATAATTTTCTTACGCTATAAAAATATGTACATTATATATTATTTCTTTATACATTTTATACATTATATTCATTATAAAATCATCTATAATTAAAAAAGCGGTAAAGCTATAAAATATAGCTGAGTCGCATTTATCCTAATGAATAAGATAAATTGGTCCTTTGATAAACTGCAAAATAATAAAAGTTATTTCTTTTTGTCGAGAAAGCGCTTTCAATCGGCTAGTTGCAATTTTCTAGTCAATCAAATATAGTCCGGTTCGATGACACGTGTCGCGTGTCGTCTAAGTATTATATAATAAACTTCTCAATTACGAACGATTGAAGAATAACTTATATCCATCATTCTTTCCAGTTTATATTACACAGTTCCAGTGTATGGAACTTCATTCCGCACTGTATTTTGAAGTCCCATTTTGTTTCGCAAATGAAAGATTGCAAATGAAATTTGACTATCTTTGTTTTTTAATGTCCCCTAAAAAGCGTATCAGTTCCGTGTATCACGACGGCGGTTTCTCTAGCGAGATATTATAATCCAAATGATCACAATGTATAGGACACTGATAATATGACACTGCACTAGCGTGGCCGGATCTTCCTGATGTCATAGGCATACCTTGGGCCCATTGATCCTGGGCCGGGTCATAAATTTCTACTATATTTAAAAACGTCGTACCATCGTATCCTCCTAAAAAAGGAATCGTGTACATTACTTTTTAAATGCCTCTCTAGAGAAACAACTTATTATTTCAACAAAGATTGATAGAATCATACTTACCCATTGCGTATAGTTTGCCATCAAGAATGGTGACGCTAAGAGCACTGCGGGCGATGGTGACGCTGCTCACGTTCTCCCATATGTCATGCTCCGTGTCGTACCTCTCTACCGAATTCAATTGCGATTTCCCATCGTATCCGCCTATAACGTATATATACTGGCCCAGACTGGCCACACCAGCTCCTGAGCGACTGCACTTCATAGGCGATACCATCGTCCATTCATCATTCTCAGGATGGTAACACTCTACTGAGCTGAGCCGGTCCTTGCCGTCGAAGCCACCAATTGCGTAGAGCAATCTGTCAGGAACGATCATATTTTTTACATTATACCATAAAGATTTAATGTATTATAGGTATAACTTTTTTAATGATTACAATGATATATAAATACATCTTTTATTCTTGAATAAAATGAAAGGTATATGTCTTTTATATGACATTCAGAATACTGTAGTTTATACTAGTAATATAATTATCATACTAATGTCACGTAGATAAATATGATTTACTTTAAAATTTAAATGTAATCGTTTGTTTTTTCATAAGCAACCATTTGATTAACATTTTTATCGTTCAATGAATATCGATGCTTTGACAAGTAGTACCTATTCACTACTGCTACTCCTACGCCTAATCTCTTGATATGCATGGGTTTCACACTGGTCCACGTATCTTGATCCGGATCATAGCATTCGACACTATTGTGGTATTCAACGCCTGCGCTACCACCCACAGCATACAACAGGCCGTCCATAACGGCGACTCCGACCCTATTCCTCGGTACCGACATCGGGCTGCATGGTCGCCATTGATCCATCATTGGATTATACCTGTCAACCCAGTCGCTGTCGTATCTGAGAAAAGTCGTATGATTTTATAGCTATATTTCAAAGTTTTAGATGGGTTTTCACATTTGAAGCCACCTGCGTAAAGCGGTATGCCATAATTTTTCATGCTGTTTTTATGTGTATATGTGTGTTATCTGATAACTATACTTGATATATAGAAATTTCCAGATTTTTTAATGTATTTCTATGTAAATCTCCATGTAAAATTAGAGTATTTTTAGGTATTTAAAAGTAAAAAAATAAATGTATTATCTGGATTAGTTATATTTTCTATTTCTAAAAAATATAATAAGAAAATAAAATTCAGTATAAATATATAAAGAAAGTATCACACACACACATTCTAATTCTGAAGAGAATTTCTTTAAAGAAATGGAATATATAATTAGATGCCTAAATAAAATATTTAAAAATCTAAAAAAAAACAAACTTACATAGCACTTTTTGGTACTAAAATATAGCACTTTGGTTTTCGCAAAATAGAAACAAAATTAAAGACATAATTTTTATAAAAAGTTCTCGAGTTTCAATAAAATTCCATAAGAATTCCTTTATTTCTTCAGGTAGGAAAAGTTTCTTGAGAATTTGAGTTTTTCAAGATTTTTCAGGTAATTTTCCAAACACTTCGTATTACTATACTTCCGAAACGTCGAACACAATTGGCGTCCAAGTGCTAACCTGCTTCCCGGTGAATTGTGTCTCCCACCGACTGCATAGAACATCCCCTTGAGAAACGCACCGCCTAAACCGGATCTGGGAACGATAAGCTTGGCGTGTTGCGTCCACGTCTTGTCGTCGGCGTTGTAGCCTTCCAGAACGTCGAGCGAGTGCTTGAAGAAACCACCGGCGATGTATATTACCCGCCGCGTGTTAGGCGTACGCTCTTTCACAACCGGCTTCTTGTGCAACGTCAAGTCTTTAAAGATCTGCGCCAGATACTCGCGACACGCTGGCACCTTCTTCAGTACGTCGCAATTTTTCATCTGCTCCCGCAGAAAGTTCGGCGTGAGGTACTGGCAGCGTACCGCGTGCAGTATGTGCTCCATCTTGGGCCGCCTCGCATCCTCGTTATACTTGACCCACTTCAGCACGGCGTTGTAAACCTCCCTTTCCTCCTGTACATTCAACTCATCCTTTCTGATGAGCGTCACCAACTGTATGGCGGACAGTTGCAAGAACTCCTCCTCTTGGCATATCTGGTTGAAGTGCTGAACAATGAATTGATTCGCCTTATGGTACAGGTCGTGGCAACCATGCTGCTCAGCAAAGTTGGCGATGCCAATCGCGTTCGTGGGATCGAGTTGTCTTTCCAGAAAAACACTACACGCATCTATCACATTGCTAACCTGCATCAAAACATACATTTATCAAACATTAAATATCAGTAGATATCAAATCCTGTATCAATATATTTATTAATCTATTTACAATCAGAAAATAAAATAACAGTCAATATTCTAATTTTCCATTCAACAATATAAATACAATATAACATATTTTATATGTATTTAACAGTTACATTGTTGAGGAGAAAATTATAATATTGATGCAAATGTTACTATTAATCTGTATTCTGTGGTCATTGATACAATTCTTTCCTTTATGTTTCTTTCCTCTAAAATTATTTGTTTACGTACCTGGAACATGGTAGCTGCTGACAGCAGCGAACATACAGTAATCTCAGTAACTCTTATTTGACCAGTATACATGAAGTACATTAAGCGAGCCATCGTAGTTGGACAAACACCCTGGAGCTTCACTCTTGTCATCTCGCATTCCTTCAATCCTCCAGTAAACATTGCCTGAAATGTTAAAGTCAGTCAACATCAACTAATAATCTTTATCCATTCTAATTCCAGTGGCATAAACTCCTTTGTAAGTGAAATAAGCAAACGAATTCGAAGGTCTATTTTTTATAGATAAACTATATATACACTTTTAGTACTCAAAGCGAAATATATGTTTGAAACTTGGCAAAAGCAAGAAGTTGTAGTGTAGTCTATATATAGTTCGGCAATATAAAAACAATCCTGATAGCAACTCACTGGTTAAACATTAGGATATATATTGAGCCAATATTGTGTCAACAATGTTTGTTCTATCAATGTAGATTCTTCATCTTTTTCTAGTTCTAAGAATTAGAAAGAGATGAAGAGTAAGTTAAACCGAGATTAAAGTTAATCTACACTGATAGAAACGGGCATAAATTATGCTACTACGAAAATCTCGAGTTAACGCGCAGTACGAGGTGCTTTGCATTTAGTGACACAAGTTGACACAAACATCATTCTTTCTTGACGTTCAGAGACTAACAAAGATAGAACGACACTTGTATTGACTTGTATCACTAAATGCAAAGCGCTCGATTTGCATACAGCTGTCAAGTTTACCTTAAAATAGGGACTAGCTGCTGCTAAAATAACTTTATGTGCGTGAAACAGTTCGGTACCGACTTCCAGTATCACGTCAGTCAGCATATGATGGCTGCGCATCATAAACATCATCTTCATAGTCTCCTTCAGGTAATTGGCCATGCAGAACGTCATGTCTCCGAGGTCACCCCGCTGCCGCTCCGTGTTGAGCATGCCCTCCCAATCCGATTCCTCCCCTGACGCGAAGGGGACAGCGCCCGGCGACGGAGCATCGTCCCGGGCCTCTTTCTTCCGTTGACAATCTTTCTCTCCATCCATTAAAGTAGAGCTGCAAAACGAGAATTGCGCCTTCAGATATTTACATACGTTCGCGTCATCGCGCGCGCGTACGCACTCCGCTCGATTCTCCTTTCCTTCCCGGAACTCGTCAAAGTCACGGAGCTATCACCCGTTCCCCGAGACCGCGTTTCCACCACATTCCGACGGACCGACAACAACATCGCGACAGGTACCCGCGTTAGATCTGTTTTCTGTGCCTGAACCATCCAAGGAACCATCCAAGAAAATCAAGAGAAAATATCAAAATAACTTTATTTTGACGTCATGAAAATCAAAATGATAATTTTTGGTTGCAAAGTCTAACTGTTTTTAGACGTTCAGAAACTTCATCAGATTTCAAAATAAAGTCATCTTGATTTTTTGTTGACTTCTGTGTGTTCCTTGGGTAGTGTACACTTTAGGAACTTAAAGTGAAGTAGGTATACGTTTGATATTCAGCTAAAACGAGAAAGAGAGATGTAGCGCAGTGCATGCAAGTGCATGGTGCAGCATAGTGCAGGAATAAAAAAAACAGACCTATTGTGCGGAAAAGCCGCGGGGGCCGTCACGCGCAATAATAGCAGCGTAATCAGGCGACGCGAGTCACTCATACATGGTGTCGCAGAAGCGTCGCACGTGATCGCGGAATGTTTCCAACGATGAAATCCGTCGCGGAGATGATCGCCTCTCTCGCGGGCGCGTTCTCGCATACGCATGGCACAGCAGCACTTACCCGGCCTGCCCAGGATCGCCAGGGCAATCTACCTGCGTCGAGGAGTCACTGGGCGCGCGAGCGAGACGGGAAAACGCGGCGGATAGTAATAAGACGGCGTGATCATGTTTCACGATCGATCTCGCCGATGATACACGATGACGCAGGCATCCTCCACCTCCGGGCTTCGGCCCTGTTCCGATAGATGCGGCGTCACCGAGCGAGCGACGAGCGACGGGTGACTGACAGGCCGACACCCAAAGGAATACACAAAAGTCAACAAAAAATCGAAATAACTTAATTTCGATTCTTAACGTCGATAAACGGTCAAATTTTGTAATGAAGAATGAAGTATCATTTTGACTCTCGTGACGTCGATAATGATAAAGTCATTCTGACTTTCTCTTGACTTGATGTATTCCTTGACGAGCCAAGCGACGGAGTCGTTTCGTGTAATTTGCATAAGCACGTGTTTCACCGCCGCACGATCAGACGCGGACACAATACGAACTCGGAACTCGAGCGGCGCGGGCGGGATTCCTTCTCGTTGCCGCCGAGCGCTTACTGTCAGTGACTGTCACCGTCGCTCCGCCGCCGCCGCCGCCGGCGGTGCGAAAACGCGAGATCGCTTCGTCACGATTTGTACCGTAGATACGCCGGTGTACCTTTGTCCGCGCCGCTGATAGCGGTCGGCCAACGTTAACTGGTTGGCTGGCTCGACTAATAATCCACCGCGACCCTGACGGTGACTCGGTAATAAATATATGTACGGCCGATGAATCGCGCGATGGACGGCGAGGCCCGCGAGGCGCGCTCAAGAGAAATCAGCGGCGCAGAGAAGCAGAGGAGGACGGTTTTCTTCGACCGCGCCGGTTGTTCCCCGAGATTTCAGCGAGCGCGACGAATCGGGGCAGTCTCTGTTTGATTCCGTGAAATTAAATGCTCGCGGACTCGTTTCGCGTCGAAGAGAGGACTCCGGGAAATCCGTCGGAGACGCGAAACTCGTTGACAGATGCATTTTGCCGTCCCGAGATCTCCCTGGAATCTTGTAGATTTTTCATCTTATTGTTAAGACAAAGAAATTCCAACTGTCCAGAGCCTGCGATTGTGTCTTTAAACAAAGTGAAAATTACAAAGTGAGCAAATTATTCACTAAGTGTTTACAATGGAATTATAAATATTCTGATAAATTCGCTCACTTTTGTAATTCTCTCTCTCTCTCTCTCTCTCTCTCTCTCTCTCTCTCTCTCATTCCTTCATCTCATTTTAAGATACACAATAATTAATTGACTTCCTGGAAATTATGTATCTTGAAATTAATAAATTTGTTCACTCTTGTAATTTTCATCTCGTCTCGGGATACATAATCAACCTCCTAGACTCTTCCAACAGAAGTAGAAATCGTAGCACGAAGAAATGGCTAGCTGTGATCAGCAGAAAAAGCTGCAATTACTATAATATTTAATATGTTTGTTTTATTACAATTAGATCCAGTGAAGAATTAAGGACGAAGACTAATCATATTAAAGAATTAATTTTATAACAGTTGCAAAGCTGTTTTTTTCTGATGAACGCAGCTAATATGATTCCAGGTAGCAAGCAGATGTTATTTAAGGATCAATCATGTGATCAACTTTTCTAGGACGTGAAAAGTGAAAATATTAGGCCTGTTCTTTTTGGCTGAACTTTTGTACCAATTCATCTTTCTTCTTCTTTCCTCCTGAAGAGAAAAGGAAGAAAGATGAATTGATACAAAAGTTAATTCAGCTAAAAAGAACAGGCCTATTTTTGTCAAGAGAAAAATTTCCTTTCCGCTCTAGAGAAAAAATTACATGATCGATATACTCCGAACGAATTTTCCGCGTTGTGCCATAACCGAAGGAACACCAATAAGGTCCAGTTCCACAACTTACGATTAACTCTTAACGGAGGTTCAACTTGTTTCTCATTTCCTTCCAATTCTAGAATTGGAAAGAGACAATGAATAAGTTGAATCTCGGTTAAGATTTAATCGTGAGTTATAGAACTGGGCCTAAGAGAAAATCAAAATATTTTGACTTTATTTTGACGTCATAAAAGTTAAAATAATCATTTTTTATTACAAAATTTGACTGTTTATTAATATTAAAAATCAAAATAAAATCATTTTGATTTTTTTGTCGACTTGTGTGTTCCTCAGGTGGGAACCTTCAAACGAAATATGGCCGATTTCACAGAAATGACGACGGTACATTCTCCGTCCTCTCATCCTATATAGGTATAAAACGAGGGAAAAATTCCGCTCGCGTCCCCGTCCGCCCCGAGCGACGGATCCGACCGTGAAACAGCAATCGTGACCGTAGATGACTCGAATGACTTGCAAATTCTGCCCGCTCGCGGCCCGCCGGCTCGCCTCGATCTCGCGCGTAATCGAGCGAACGGTACTTCTTCGTTGCGCGCTTAGCCGAGTCAGCTGTTCCGCATCCGGAGTCTGGAGAAGCCGAATTAGTTGACCGATCGACGCGAAATACCGTCGATTAATCACGGCGATTTCCTCGCGGGCATCCGCGGCAAATGAAACGAAATTAAAAATCAGAGGAAGACGGTGAACGCGATGCTGCGCGTTGCCGAAGAATCAAAATATATCCATAAAATGCCATCGATCGTTATTTATGACATGTTCATCTTGATCGCGATGAGAAGAGTTAACGAGGAAAAATGATCTCGCGTGAAAAGGCAAAACATTCTTGTGTGAATTATTTTGAAATTTATGTCGTTTTAAGTCACGTGGATTATCGTCATCGTTTTACTCGCACTCGGATAGCTATCGAGGCGAATTTAATACGATAGATGATAAGAGATTGCTGACAAAGAAACCAAATTACTCTGGCAATTCTCGGAGTGGCGACTAAATTTTGACGCGTGTTGCCCTCGTTCGGTCGAAGTTAAAACCTAGAGAATAGTTTACATGATAATTTCAATCGGTACAACAATTTATATTTTATAATACAGGGTGTCCCAAAATTCATGATTGAAAGGAAAAAAATATTTTAAATATCTAATTAGTAACCGTGATCCATTTAACGTTATGTAAATACTTCAAAGTATTTAATTAAGCAATTAGAAGAAAGAATCAAAGAAATGCTTCAAAGCATTTGTAACTTTAAGGGGATCCTAAAAACAATTAATCATATTGTGAAAATAGCACTTACACACAGATGATTTACGTGTCATTGATACATTACACATACTACTCCATCAATATCTCACGCATACATACACATAAATTTTTGTTATTATTGTAATAATAACATTTTAATTAGACGTCTAATGCTCGTTATTTCTATCTTGGTTCAATTTACTCTTCATCTTTTTCTAATTCTTAGAACTAGAAAAAGATAAAGAGTTTATTAAACTGAGATTAAAATTAAACCACATTGGTAGAAACGGGCATAAATCCAATTCAAAGAACTCGTTATTTTTTCGTGCAAGCCATTTATGGTTCGTAGACTATTATTTCGTAAGTACAGATTGCACAGCTTTTATACAAAGCAAATATTATCACGATGTGACAGCTCTAGAGCGCTATATATTGGACCATATTGGACTAAGAAATAGTAAAGAAGATCTGAGTTTTGAAATTTTTTAACGTTCTCGGCATAAACTCCACCTCACAGACACGTACATTAATGTTTATACTTTAATTCTGGAAAAGAATTTTCGAATCAGTAAAAGAGGAAAAAAGTAATTTTTATACAAAAAAATCACATGGTTTAAGCCTGGTTGCACCAACGTTGCTTCGATCTTAAAGCCATGGCACACACCTTCCGTAACAGTAAGACGTACCGTAAGAATCAGCCAATTAAAATTAAGAGTTCAAAAGAATTCTCGATTGTGATTGGCTGGTTCTTACGATACGTCTTAGGCCGGAATCAGACTAAGCATTAAAGATTGAGATTGAAAGATTGAAATTTGACCAATCAAAACAATAGGAGCTAAAATTCCTTTGCCCTCATTGGTCAAATTTCAATCTACAATCTTCGATCTCAGTCTTCAATGCGTAGTCTGATTCCGGCCTAAGGCCCATGGCACATACAAAAACGTAAGGCCGTAATACGTAAGCAGTAAAGAAATCGTAAGA